CCCCAAGAGCTGCAGGTCAGGAAGAGAGAATGACCAACAAACTCAGTTCCAACAGTGCAGTTTTTAGTTTTGATGACCAAGGAATCGGAAGGAATAAAGCAGTTTGGATGAAGAGGACCCACATCTCCAAAAGGAACTTCTCACTGTAGGTACCATTTTGGAACCCGGCACTCCTTGAAATATCAAACCCTTGCACAGATATCAAGCCCTGCGACACTCCACGCTGGTTTAGTTTGTTCTGAAGATCTCAGTCTGGCCGTTCAGCTGCACAGAGAGCACCTTTAAATCCAAGTCCCCAACTGAAGAGCCACCAGAAGAAAGGCAGGTCTCCCTCCCAGACCCTCTTTGCCTGTTCCTCAGCACCCTGTCTTGCTCCCTCCCTTTGGGCAGCGCTGCTACGTGAGCCATCATTTGTTAAGCAAGGTCAAGGGGATCTTCTGGTGGAAGCCTAACACTCAAAATCATGCGCTAGTGCTCTAAGTCTAAAGACTCAGGTCTGTCCCGATAAAGGGAGACCTCCATGGCCTGGGTGACGTTGTTCTCCCCTCAAAGCTCGTTCAACTCTGAAATCCAGGAGAAAACAACTCACTCCAGAGACCTTACAGGCATTGAAGAGCTTCTCCGAACACACCTGGCAGCATGGAAATGCCATTACTTGACTGTCTGGATAGCAACAAGGTGTTTGCTTTCACACCCCAACAGGACGACGTCTGTCCATCTTACCTATACTTGACCCTGTTTGATAACGCCTAATTCAGACTTTCCATCCAGCCGAGCTCGTCCTCATTTTTTCAGACCAACTTCACTCACCAGTTTGGCTTCCTGATTCAAGGGGAATGCACAATGGTCATTTGTTTTAACCACTTCCCTCAGAAAAGAAGGGAAAGTCCCTCTCATATGGAAAACAGTGTCAAATTTTTATTAGCACTGGCTTTACAGTGATGACCTGCACATTTTAACTAGTGGCTTGACTTTGTTTTTCCCTAAACTGACTGAAATATTAGCTGACTTCTAAGCTTGGATGGTTTAAAAAACAGTACGGAAGAATATATTAAAGAAACCCCTCTGCCATGCAGAATCTACCAGGCAGAGGGTTTGGGATTTATTTATTTTTTAAGTCTTTGGAAGCATGAAACGGGCAAAGTGACTCTTCCACTTTTCAGCAACGAACGCTGTTTCCACCGCCTTCAGACACTCTCACTATTGCTACCGTATTCTAATGAAATTCAGATGCTGCAAGAGAGAGGTGGTTGGTGCTCTGCTTACAGTCGTGACGGACCCGAAAGAATGTCAGGGCATGAATCAGTGGGACAACCGTGAGCTACAAAAAAGAAAGGCTTCTGTTTTCACACAGACGACAGAATAAACAACGATCAGAAGGAAACTGGAGGATGTGACACCGAAAAAAAAATGTGGTTAAAGTTTGAAAAATACCAGCCTAGGCACAGAAGTTCATTTCTAAGATCCAGAGTCAAGGCAAATACTTCACAGATGCCTTTTGAATGACACGTCGAGTCGTAGTCTCCAGTTGCCGTCTGGGTTAGACACCCCGGGATTCTTTTCAACAGAGGCGGGGAAAATTTTAGTAGCAATTTCCTACTCTCATTAATTTATCCTGTAAATATTCAGTTTCTGAACACGATTTTCAACTAATTTGAATGGGAGGAGGATCGAGTGGCAAGTCTGGTGGTATTCAGAGACTTGCCCTGTCACTGAAAAAACCCTCTGCACAAGCCCACGAATTCAAGCCCTGACTGTGACTCAGGGTTTGGCCCTGGCAGCCTTCAGAATGGAATTAATTTCACATAACTTTACTTATCTAAAATTACATGTCTGGTCTACCCTGGTTCTTTGGGTTGCCCCAACAACCACTGAAAAAAAGATCAGCACCTCCGGGGGATAATTCTTCCTATCCTAGAGAGGGATAGGATCCAGTAAGTACCCGTGACTCACATGTAAAGACGGCCTGGAAGCAAGAAAGGAGAGGTGAAGACCATGTTAGGCAGCAGAAAAACACACCCTTCAAACCTAAAATCCGGTGGTGACTTCAGAACCTTAATCCAAAAGCACACACAGGTATGTTTAGTCTGCATCTGTAATTCACAAGCGCCAGCTCTGGAGAACAGGACAGAGCTCTTGCACTGGGTGTACGAAATAACCTGAAAGGTTCTTCCTAACTGGTCCCAGGTCACACTTACCTCCCCGCACCCGAATACTCTGTAGCCTCTGTGTATTTTGATACCGCGCAATAAATCCGCTAGCTGAATCTCATGCCATCCCAAACGACACGATGTTTCACAGCAAGGAATTTCACCTTGCCCGGCGCATCTTAGAGTCGCTAAACTTTCCTCACCTGCTGAGATGCCCTTGAGCACGGCATCCTGCCCCGCTCCTTTCCTCCAGTCATCTTCTTCCCACCTACAATCCAAACATCAAATCAAAATTAGCTGCAAAGTTAAAACCCTCTGTTTGATCGCACACGAAAAGCCCAGAAGTCTGACTAAATCGCTGTAGCAAAAACCCCATCTTCAATCTGAAATTGTGTAACCTTTGCACTCAGGCACTTGCCAACACTGGCAGTTTATTCCTGCAAACAGAGATTTCAGAATAAAGTGTCATCTGAGCGTACAACGCAGCAACTTCACAGCAGCTCCTATCAATTATTCTTAAGCTTTCAGCCTGGTTTCTAAGAAAACAAAGCTTATGTCTGCATATGTTCTATCCAAGCATGTGTGTGTACTGGGGAGGAGGGTAGCTGTCCCCTCACTAATAACTATTGACCTTATTAGACAGTTTAACTAAAATTTGATGGGGGGAACCCAAAACGTCTCAGTTTCATGGAAACAGGCAACCGGTGAGAGGAGAAGGATCCTGTTAATAGCCCCAGAGCGGAAAAGGTGGCGAGTGTGAGTTCACCCCTTATTAGTCACTGGAGAACCCGCAGGAGAAAGACCTGAGAAGGTGACTTCATAGGCAGAAAAGCTTTATTCCACCGCCTGGGGATCTCAGGAATGCTATTTACCATCTTGTCACTAGATGGTATTGTTCCACAGGCTATATCTGAGAGCCTCAAAGGTCAAATCCAGCCTGGTGGGTCAGAAGCTACGTTGACTGAAGTGAGAGAAAAGCTGGTTTGTTGGGATTTTTGTGTATTTTCATGATTTTGCAGATAGAAGCCATTAGCAGAATCAAACTGTTAACAGTCAAAGGAAAAGAGCTTTGGTGAAAATGTAGATAAAGTAACTTGGTGTTGATGAACTGTGCATTTCCTCTGCATCTGAAAAAAACTGCCAAGATAAAGAGGTGGAAAGATATCGATAAAATGCTTCTTTTTACAAAGCAAGCATATATAACGAGCCCTCTGTTATAGTTCAATCTGATCTTACACAAAATTCAACCAGCCTGACAAGTTCTGCACATCCATTTCAAAATAAGTGAGAAAACCTAAATACTATGCCAGGATACAGTTCTGAGCACAAGGTCCTTTAGTTTTGAAAGTGGGAATTTACCTGCATCTTGAAGGCAAAAAGAAGATGATTCTGTTTTCCAGCCTGGATGGGCATCACTTTTGTCCTCACCCTGCTCACCTGAATCTGCTCTGACAGGGAGAGGTTGGTTCTGTAAAGCAAAATATGCTTTGTCATAATGGCATAACCTAAAAAATATGTCCAAGTGGTAAACACATAAACTCAGCACTAATAGGGATCAACATCCTTGCTTCTCCCAAGTCTTTCAAGAGAGAAATTATCCAAGACAGAATTCCAACCTAAACAGCTTCCTGTCTTCAGGAGTTAGTGGTGTTGGCCTTTATTCTCTGGCACTGATCACCTAAAATTAAATTGTCATGTCTGAGCTACCTGTCCAGGCTGCTCTTTTTGTCATTTTGGAGAGGCACCACCAGAGGACTATTCATTCCAGTCCACCTCAGTGCCTGAGGAAATTATCTGAATTACCTGCTGGAGCTGCAGAGGGAGGCCTAGAGAAATAGGGCACAACTCACAGCTTTTTGGTGGCTAGAGGTAAGCGCAAGGAATCTCACCCAGCTCCGCAGCGGAACGCGGCTTAATCCTGAGAAAAGTTGAGCGGAAATGCAAAAACTGTTCGCAACTTTCTCCACTTTGTGCGTGCCTGCGTGTAAATGTGTGTGTGCGCACGCACACAGGGCACGGCTCTCTGTACAATCACTGCCCTCTTCTGGGAGAACGCACCCGGCTCCGTGATGAAATTCACTTTACATCTACAGGCTTCCAGCCTCGGCGTTCAACCCGCTGCCCAAGCCGAGCTGAAACCCTTATTAATCTACGATTCCGAGGAAATGCTTCTTCTAAGGAGATTTTTTTACTCCATTCCTCACACGAGAACCGAACCGAGCTATTTCTCTACCTTTGTGCTCCCCTCCTCTTCCTCTTCGTCACAGTCTAACCCTTGATGGGAGATCTCAGTCGGGCCATGCTTCTGGATCAGGTCACTTTTGGCTGTCCTCATTCTTTTCCTTTCGGTTGTCACTCTCACCTTCATGAGGTGGTAGGCGGTGGAGACTGACCCGACTCTCAGATTGACGGGATCGCCATCAAACAACATGTCACCAGGGCTGTCATCGTCCTTAAAGCCAGGGGGCTGGTAATCTTCGGGAGTTACTACATGGGGAGAAAGAACCCACTGATGTCAGAGGAATCAAGTTCCACTTCTCCTTAATCTGATCTATAAAGAACAAGTGTATACCAGCATCAACTACTAAAAATATTCTGGGGTTTTGGTGTTGGTTTTTTTTGGGTTTTTTGAGGAAGAAGGGAAAAGATGAGCTGAGCGCAGATCATCAGGGAGCTCAAAGAAAGAATGACTTTAGGATGCTGAGATATCATTACCGTGCTCAGCTTTCTGAAGCAGAATCTGACATTGCCTGTTCCCTAAAAAAAACCTCCAAACCATGAGAAACCAACAGTGAGGGAGAAGGGTGTCTGTTCTTCACACCGCAGAGCTGCACTTCTTACACGGGTGTTCAAACCTTTCTTAAAAAGCATCTGCCATCCCTGCATGTCAGAAGGCTTTACTGTGGTTTACAGAATTTCTCACTGTTACCAGATAACAGCTTCTACTATTTCACCTTTCTACGCTTTATTCACTTAACAGGGGCTCACGACGAATATCGAAGCTGATGGAAAGGGAATTTTTGCCCACAGCACACACTGCTCTCCACCTACCATTGCTGTAGTAGAGGAGTTTCATGGTCAGGGTTACGTCGCTGGGCAGGGGGCCGAGGTTTTGCATTAACAGGTAGAGTTTACGGATCAGGGACCTGCTGGCCTGTTTCACGTCCTCGCCGCACACCCCATTCACAAAATCCATTTGGTTCCTACAATTGGAAGCAGAAGAATAACGGATTTGTTTCTCTCGGTCATGAATATTCACGATCTAATTACAAACACAGAGCACCCACTGACTCGTCCGAAACCACCAGTGACAAAGCTGCAATGCCTTTATGTCATTTCCAGATAAACAGGGAAGTGAAACAGACTCCAGGGATGGGGTGGCATCGGCAAAACAACAGCTCCACGCTCAGAGGCACGGCATTTCCATTTGAAGGGACTTTGGTAGCGGGGGCATGGGACCCCATTATACAAATGTCATGACTCACTTGTTTGAACACGATTAAACGGGATCAAAGGAGGCTAAAACAAGTGCCTTTCACCTAAGCAATTTCAGGAACGAGAGGAATGAGTTGAGAAGCCCATATCGAGGCGATTCGTCACAGGGGCTATTTTCAAGTCCATTTTGCAGTTTTGAAGAGAAGGGAATTGCACGTTCTCGCTTCAGTTCCACGTAAGAAAAGCTAGCTCAGAAGCACATTTTTCAGAAGTGACTAAGGGGCATTCCTCTCACCTCCTTCGCTCACCCAAATGTCAGCCGGCTAGTCTCAGCAAGCAGTCTAGACAGAGAGGTACAACAAAAGTGGGATGAATCGCTCTCCGGAGGAGTTTTGTTCCTCTTGACGATGGAGGTAGATGACATGAGCAGCTTCAGATCAGCTGGCCAACTTTAGATGCCTGAAGATGGACCAGATGAATCACTAGGTGACTAAGGCACCTACACTTCCTCAACTTTCAATGAGAAGGGGCCGTAAGAAAAACGCAGCCCCTTCTTACATCTTTAAAAGACGACTATGTACAAGCCGGGTGGTCCCCAACACAATCCTCCCAAACTGCTTTAAAGCAGTGAGTAACCTAAGAGAGCGGAGAGGATCCCAAAGCTGAATCTGACCGACTAAACCACTGGAAGGAACAGCTTCGTGAAGCCTGATTTCCCTTTCCGATCGAAGCTGCGTGAAAAAACTGCGTGGCTGTTGAACAGCTTGACTTCCCAGGGTACGCTGGGTTGGTAGGCTCTTGACTGCCAGCAGGGAAACTCTCGCTATAAGATTAAATCCTGCAGGTCCAGAAAGGTCCATCAAGCGAGAGGACAACTGCTGGCAATGCCTAAGGTGGAGTAAAGAGAAGGTAGGCCTCCTCTCAGACACCACCTTTACGGGTGGAATAGAAACGGTAGGGGAAAGGAGCATAAGCAAAAAGGAGATGGGACTTCCAAAGGAACTAACAGGCCAAGTACCAATATGGGAATAACACTGTGGATTTGATGCGGGAACGTGCCAAAAGGTAGAAGCTGAGGAATTGAACATCCCCAGAGGACTGGGATCCACAGTGAGGCGTTCCTCCAAAATCCATCTAAAATAAGGCAGAGACCATTTAGGAGAGAGTTTCCCTTTCCCCCTCAGGTCTGATGACGCACACCCACGAAAACCTCTCTCACAGAAGGATTAACTCGGGGCTCGCACACGACAACAACCCCTGCAGGTGGACGACAGCAGCGTTATCAGCTGAAGAGGTCGATGGCAAAGATGACCCGGTGCTCTCACCGGGGCTGGAACGTGGCTTTGCTAACGGCCGCAGGCACACGCACCATCCCGCAGCAGCAGGGGCAAGGGCTGAGGAAAGAGAGCAGAGCCCAGGAATTGACACCACCGGCTTCGAAACCTCAGAGCAAGAATGAGATTTCGACGGAGCCGATAGAACCACAACCGCAAGGTTCCTTAGCTGCTTCCTGGCCAGCACGAGGGACACCAAAGGATGCTGAGCTCCACTCGAGGACATTGTTACTTCTAGGAGCTAATGATGAAGCGGATTAAAAAAAAATAAAGTACTCAAGAGCCATCTATTATCTGTCAGATTCCAAAGGTTTCCTCTTCCCCTCAGTGAGCGAGGAAAACTGGCAGCAGCTTCGAAGCAGAAGCACGAGGGTGGAGTCAACCCTCTAGACTCAGATATAGCTCAGATCTTCTCAGGAGAAAGTCATTTTGCCATGTACTATGAATTATTTAGGTGTTTTTAGAGAAGGAGCAGCAAATGGCACACTACAGGAGGGCTGCGGAGGAACTTCCTGAGGAGCACATGAGACAGCAGAGCTCTCCTGCAGGTTCCAAGGCCCAAAAATCCATCTTTCACCAATGGCAACTGCAGAAGCAAACTAAAAACGGGCTATTTCCCTTTGCTTGGGTAACAGCCAACAGCCTTTGACAGTATTTATTTTAAACTACACAGGATTACAGCCTACTAAATGCAGCTTTAAAACATCTAACAGAGCCAAAAAGATGCAGAGGGCTGCTGCTTCCTGCCACACGTTTTGCGGCGTCAACTCGGTCATCACCAGCGAAAGTTCTCGTGTCACCCACGCAAGACTGCTCAAGCAGACGGCACGTATGCAAATGCCCAAGGGCAAAAAATAAAAACCCAACCCCCCTTCTGGGTGCAGAATCACGGCAGAAAGGATCAAATTGGGAAAAGCTTCATTTGCCAGCACAAGGGTGTCTTGTGAAAGAGGACGGATGCTCATCATTAGTTGAGAGAGCACGGTTGGACATTGTTGCTCTCTCAACTCCCTGAGTTTCCACAAACTGTCCTTCCCTCAGCTCTGGTGCCTCACTGTGCTATGTGACAGCATTTCTCCTCATTAGCTGGACAGTTCATACCCTGTGGGGTGAATATCCTCAATTCTGATGATATTTACAGCTGCTTAGCAACACAGACAGGCTCTAGCCATAAAGTGCAGCTTCTTCTTAATGCCTCAAGAGCACACTTTTCACCGTTGTAATTCTGAGAAGTAAAACCAAGCCGTTACCTGATGATGTCCATCTGCGGCACCTTCTTTTTGTACTTGAACTTGAATTGATACAGTTCAGTCACTGTCTAGAGGTTTAACAAGAGAGGGGGAAAGAAGAAACAGATCTCTGTCAATAAAAAGTGCAAAAAAACCTCACAGTGTCCTTTCACAACTGTGCTGCAGCTTTAACTCTATTATTGCTTGCAAGGGGGTTGGCAAATTTTCTTATCAGCCACAGGTTACCCAGAACTGAAAAAAAATTACCCCCAAAATGACAAACCTCCTGCTTCCTCCTTCCACTTCCTCTGTGGGCCTGACTCCCCAGCCCAAATCTCTTAACGAGGCACTCAAGGCCAGGCAACCATCCCAACCTCCGCAGGTCCTCCCTTACTAAAAGGAAAAATGGGAGGATTCACGGGTGATGCAGCATCACAAGGGAAACGGGGCCGGCGTTCTGTGTGGAGACAAGGGCCTGAAGGACCCTTCCTACTAGGAAATACAAACAATATTGGACGGGCAAAAGCTGCCGAATTTCACCGGTCTCGGAGTGTTCTGAGGGAGATTTAAAAAGAAACAGATGATTTTCCATTTGAAAGGGAAGGATTTGCTATAATTTTAGAGAATAAAATAATCAGGAAGAACAGGCTACTTCGCCACAAGAGGAAAGCCCTATTGTAGTCCAATTCTATGCCTATAATTCCCTTTTTCCGGAGGCAGTGAGGTCAGTTAGCAGGAGTTCAGCTGCCCTTAACTCTGAGCCTTCCTTACAAATCCCAGCCTTAGCATGGCCTAAACTCCTGCTCCCTCCCCAGACGCGGAGGTGTGGCGCAGGAGAACCTCAAGCGGGTGAGTCGAGGTCCCGCAGCCGTTCCCTGCGCCCGCTCTGGATGCCGGACCTCGCTTCTGCTTCCACTCTCTTTTAAACACCACTGTTACAAAGCTGGTTCATAACAGAATTATTTTGAACTTCTCGTTTCTCCAGCTCAGGCAAGAAAACCAAAATTTCCAACACGTCCATTAGCTGGCAACGCATTTCCCTGCCTGAGACCCTGGGAGGGTCCACGGCTCAGCGCCCGGTGGGAGCGTTTGATCCCTATCCAGCTCGCTGAGCCGTCATTCTCGAGTGAAAGCAGAAGAAGAGCAGCAGGGTCACCAAACAGCTACGTCAGGGTAGAATTTATGCCTTCAAGCCCACTCTGAATACAGATCTACTCACCCATGCCTCCAGTTGCCTCAAAGCTTAATTAAGACTCTTTCTTACCTCCGGTTCCTTGGGATTGGTGTAAATCTGTTATAAGAAAGCACAGCGAGGGCATTGGAAAACTTGAAGTGGTGACAAGTGACTAAACAATGATATTTTCATTTTACAGCAGAGATTATACTATCTTTAGCGCGGGATCAGAGAAGGGAACGGCTGAGACTCAGCCTCCCTCTATCAGCGCTCAGCACTTAACACTTCAAAGCCAGGCAGAAGCCACTCGGCAGTGTAATTGCGGAGGAATGAGGTTAACTCCCATTCCAAGGCTCAAGGCAACGACTGAGATGGAAGTGCTGGGACTACTCGCTGAGGAGATGCACCAGGTAGCTCTTGGTGCTTTACAAAGGGCCAGGGCAAGTCTTGCTAAGTAACCAGTAACTAACCAGTAACCAGCAACAGTGTGTGGTTTCTTCAGGACCAGATTTAAAAGGGGGATTTGCAGGGGGAAATGGGGAAGACAGGGCAGCTTCCAACGGCAGAGGCGAGAGTTTAAAAAGGAGGGACACGAAGCACACAACAGCGCTTCTTGGAGTTTAAGGAGGTATTTGAGGCCTTTCAGTCAGAAGCCTGACGTGCCAAGACAGATAGAGGGATGTAGATAGGGAGATCGTGTTTACCATATTTAAGAAAGGACACCACTCCATTAAAAACCACCTACATCTTGACTTATCCTTAAAAAAAAAGGGCATGACGGGGCCGACAGTATCTTTTTCAAGCAGGGTGGGGGAAGAAAAAAGCCGTGTATTTGTTTACTTACTGCCAGGACAGCAATGTGCAGCTAAGGAGGGGGAAAAAAAAGCCAAAACACCGAATCAAAGCCTGAACTTAGCGGAGAAGGGAAAGAAAGACCCATCGAAAACCAGCTGCCTACCTCCAGGGGAAGAATATTCAACAAACGGCGAGTTAAAACCCCTGACGGCACAGCATCAGCAACACCTAGTGGCCGCCGTGCCCGGCTTGAGAGAAAACTGCACGCTCAGACTTCTCTCTTGGGACTCTTGCTAAATAAATCTCCGCAGGCTATGCCGATTTAAAACAATTTTACAAGCGCACCCCACCTGCTGCTGAAGACTAGTATGTGCTCTCTGCTACGAAACTCCCCAAAGGTATTTAATTTATCCTTTAGCAGGAAAACATATGTGGGGCCACACTTGAAAACAATCCTGGAACACAGATTAAATATCCCTAGAACATGCGTTAAATATTGTCAGACAACCACATGCCTCTCATAAATAGCAGAGGACTGAATATCTCCTAGAGCTGTCAGCGTGTTCACAACATTTTGGATTATTTTATGCACGCTGACAGTTGTACTGATGGGTGAGAGCCCATCTGATCATCAGTGCCGAAACGAGAGCTTCGACTGATCTAGATGAGAGTCGGTTTGATGAACAGCGCTGATAGAGATGACGACAGTCGGTGCTTTTCCCTGTGCAGAGCAGCTTTTTCGTGAGAATCAGCGAGGGATATGATTACTTAGGAGCTGATTTTGCCCTAGAACCAGTTATGTACCTCACTTGATGATTTACCTTCCCAAAAAAGCAATAATTTCTGAACCCAAAAGAAGAGCCAGGAAGGTTAGAGAAGATGAGAAGAAGGGAAAAGACTAGGTGAAAGGAGATAAAGGGAAACAGAAGCACAGAAGAACCTCTCAAGGAAACGGGTGTGGAGATTGAGATCTCAGCTCTGACTAGCAGCGTCTCTAACAAGATGTTAGAGAACACAAATGTAAAACACAGAATTGAGGGAAATCCATTTTAGGCTGCAAATTAGTTCACACATTGTGTACAAGCAAACAAAAAAGATCAGCAGCCGTCAGCATTTGGGCTTAAGGAATAAAATCCCAAATCTCATGCGTATAAACTCAGGGCAGGGTCTCCCCCCCATCCCATGGCTGTAAACTTGTACTGTGCACACACACGATCACTACAAAACCCTAAAGCAGGAAGGGAAAGACAGTGTTGTCCATACTTTATGAAGAAATAGGGAACTCCTTTAAAAAGGAAAAAAAAAAGTGAAAAAAACTTACATACTGCCTCTCCAAAGCATCAAAACAGCCTTGAATCCTGCCAGGGAAAAATATGTTAACACCAACCAGCAACGTTTATCTCCTCATCTGTAAACACACGCTCATTAGATACAGTTCAAAGCACATTTTCTTCTGGAATTAAGACAACACGACCAGCAACAGTTTGGGCCTGTCAAGTCCCTTTCAGGTCAACCCTCACAAAGGCGTTGTCCTCCCTTCTGCATTTGTGCCCTGGTTACACCTTTAGGGCCGCAGCCCGTGAGCCCACGTCAATCCTGACCAAGGACAGGCCCAAGGCTCTGTCCTGTCTCCCTGGTTTGCTCTCCAATGGCCCTTTCCCCACTGGCAGAGTACAGAGCTTGGCTGAAACTTCCATCTGAACACAGCCTGACATGCCTGATCTCGTAAATTTTTGATTATCTGATGCCTAGTTTATGGCTACAGACTTTCTCGAAGCAGTAAATATTATTCGAGGTAGCAGCGGTCAGATATTTACTCTTTGAGTCAAAGGATGTGCAGCTGGTATCTCCTCAGCACATCAAAGTCAGACTCGCTGCCTGTTGGGAGTGTGCCAGCTCCCAGACACATCCTAAAGAAAGCCAGAGGGCACTTGGACCCACCACATCCAAGGAGATAAAATACTGTACACGCTAAAAAACAAGCTGCAAGAATCCCTTGTAAAACCAGAAAAGACTAAACAATGGAATCAACCTCATGGTTTCCTTCGTCCTCTCTCCGTACCTTGGCTGCTCCTGTGTGCCCTGGGGCCTGACCATGACCTCACAGACCTTGAACTCACATGATCTCGGTCAGCTAATTCTGTCCCGCTTACACGCAGGGCCACGCACACAGGCTGCAGCAGCAGGAGTCGCGCTGGCACAGCCCAGAGCGGTGCCGGGCACAATGTTTTCAAATTCAGGAAGAAGAAGAATGCAATGGGTAGATGTCTTGCTATTCAGCAAAATCTTGTCTTAGTTTCGCTGTTACTCACTTACCACTTGACTATCTGCAATGATCCCAGACAGCTTTTATCTTCTCGGAGAATTTTAAGACAGAGGTCTGAAAAACCAGATTTAGCACATAGTTACAATCCTTATCACAGCTGTTGGGCAAACATCGAAACTAAGCCAGTCACTCTTCCTTTTTTGGATTAAATACGTTATCTGGAGGGCCTTCCTGAGCGGAAACGTTGATTTCCCACTGAGTCCCAGGTGGACTGACACAAGCTTATTGCTGCATTTTCAAATGTCAGGAGTTTCCTCAGATGCTCTGGGCTCTCCCAGAAAAGGTGCCAGAGTTACGGCTTAATTTCAAAACACTGGCAGCTTTCATCCTCTCCTTGCTCCTCTTCTCCTCTCCCACCTAATCTGCCATTCCCTAACACCACCTTCACTTCTGCATTCGGACCTCACCAACATCCATAAACCATAAAGGACTGTGCACAGAACAAACTACTTCTGTTAAGCTTTTGCACACAATTCCTTCCACCTCTGTTTTCAGCCACGAATGACAAGTGGAAACCCAACCTGCAAATCACAAGGTGAATTATTAACACCTTAGGATTCAGCCAAGGAGCCCTCCAAAGCATGAGCAGGCCAAGTGTTAACAACCTTGATCAAAAAGGTGCCTGAAAGACCTGACATTCCCTTAGAAAGGCTGGTGTCTTTTCAAGAGGACGTCATCAAGAGCCACTGTGGGATGTTTTGTGCCCTCAACCCAGTCCACAAAGTACACATGACACTTGAGGATGACCGAAAATGTGGGAGCAGACTGGTGACGTTTCACACCTCACCAACACGTCCTGAATGAACATGAAGGCATCGATGAATCAAAGCATCACTGATTCTGGTGATCCTATGGCAAGACCTTGGTTCTTACAGTTCTTCCTTTTCCTTAACATTCCGATTGCCAAGTGCATGCGGTTACGTGAGTTTTTCTCACAGAAAAAAAAACAACCCACAATAACACGAACGAGCAAATCTACTTTCAGTCTCTCAAGGAAAGCTGAAAACGCAAACTTCAAAGGCTCAAAAATACAAAGGAAAATAAACCACACCAAACAGAGTTAATTTTTTAAAAAACGGCTGATTTTTAAGTCGATCTCCTGACTCTGAAACCCGATTCACGGGGCTGGTAACCCAGAGGAACAACTATAAACCAAAGGAAAAGCTAATGGAAAAGCACAGTGTTGCCAGTAGCTGTAGGTTGTCTTCTGTGCTCTCTGTCTCTCTGATGCAGAAGCACTGTCTGCACCCAGACCACAGAAGGCCCGTTAGCTAATTTCCTAATGAACTGAACTCACACAGACACGAGCAGCTGGAAGCCAGCATGTAGAGCAGATTGTAGCTAAAATAAATCAAGTTAGAAATGAGAAAGCACAAACTGAAAGTGTTACCATCTAAATAGCGAGTTCCGTACGAGCTCTCCGGGAAGAGGCCTCTCATGTAGGTTATGCAGGACACAGAGATGGCCAGAAGCTTTTTCACCAGCGCCACCGACTGCTGCTCCGTAGCAATTTCGTTGGGGAACAGCACCAATTCCTGAAAAAGAAGGGCAAAGCCAGAACCAGCACTATTTTAGTGTAACACGGGCATTATATTTAGAAAAAACTCTCAGCAGGTGGAAGAAGAGGGCAACTTAGAAATGTAATTTTAGCATTTCTCTGATCTTCTTTACTCTGCACTTAGTCACATGTCTAACACGAGTGGGATTAGACGTTTTAAGGATAGCTATCAACAGATCTGACAAGATTTACTCAGATGCAGACCACATTGGTCCTTGATCCCCTCCCCTTTTATCACGGCTGAACATTCCCTCCCTTTCCGCTGCACTAGTGCTGGCTCTTAACAGACAACCACCCCTAAAAAAAGGAAAAAAAAAGTATGGTTTTCTGCCAGCTTAGCTCTACCGAGCTAACTGTGGGGTTGAACAAGTGCCAGCACTGGGGCGGCGCTCACTGCTGTACCAAAGTTTACCACAGCTTTTTGAGAGATCTGAGACCCAGCCCTCAGAGTGATTTTCATGTAGAGCTGCAAACAGCACGTGTCCATGATTGGAGCTAACGCAAATACAAGCCGCTGTGTGGCTTCAGCGTGAACAGTCTCAGAGGAAAGTGTACTAAATTTAGTTCCTCTATCAGCTCATTGCTTTTCTTTGTGCTAATAAAGCTCTACGTGCACATCCGATGAGCCTACATTTATTTAGTCGAATGCATGTCAAAGCCCCGTGCTGCATCTTCCTGGGCTCACAAAATTGGAAATAAATCAGCTGAGAACAGTGGAGACAAGAGAAAGTGTTCCCACATCACCAGGCACAGACATGCCAGGTCTGTCAGTATCATCATTTCTCAAGATTTTTACCTCAGTGGTCTTTTTCTTTTTCCTAGTCTGAAAAAGCTGCTGAGTAACCATCCTGTGTTTCAAAGACCTGCCTTCCACTTGTAATTAAAACCTGGGGAGAAAAAAAAAAGAATATATGAGACACCTGGAAAATACACAATCATTGCTATTTCTCACCTTCCTTAAACTAAGAACGAGATTCTTCAGCTTGTCATTTCTGAAAACTAATTGCCAGCCAGGACAGATAAAGCAAAGCAAACCAAGGATACTCTCTAGCACTGTCTGAGAGACTGCAGAGCAAGAAATCGCCGGTGAACAATCAATAGTGTTTGAAATTCAGGGCCATGACTGTACCTGGTGTCAGCTGGTACCACTTCAAAATGCATTTCTCATATTCCAAGCCACAAATGTTAATTCCTGTACCCGTTAAAAAGTGTGAAGGGAGGAATGTGAAAGAAGTGGAAGATGGCCAGTGGCAGCCGATATTTTAGCAAGAGTAAGCAGGAAAAGCACTAACATCAATCCTGGCTGGAATAAAGGAATGATTCTTCTGGGACACCTTGAAAGGAAAGAAAAAAAAAAGAAAGAAAAAAAGAGAGAAGTACACATCATTTCAACAAAAGCAGGCCCTGTTAGACAAGCCTGGATTAAAGAGGAAAATATTCTTTTTACATTAACTATGAGCTGATTGATAAAGGCAATAAAGTGGACATTATACATTTTGCACTTCGGTGAGGCGCTTGATTTAGCACCATCTGACATCGTGATTAAAAACTTCCATTAGACGGAATTAACAGGGTTTGAAAAACGGCTCTCTGGGAGATCTCAACACGTAGTCGCTAATGGGGAGCCGCTAATGAAAGGAAACACCACAAACAGGTCCCCGGAGGAGCGTTGCCTTGTCTGCAGCCGGTCAATATTTCAATTAACAATTAAAATAATAGCATAAACACAGTAGATTGGTTTAAATCGTGACCAAATGTACTGAGCAGCGGACTTTTATCGAAACACTTGATCTAATCTTGTTCTGCATTTGTACATTTTTAGCTTTTTTTCTCCACGAGTGCCTTATTTCCATTTGTTGGCAGTCATTAAGACTCGTTGATTGGAACATGTCGACAGCTTTTACACTAAATTTAGCGCTTCATTTAGTAATGAGGACAGACGACAGCTACAAAAGTATATTTGAACAAACGTGCACTTGGGAAATTTTTAATACGTGTAACATTTTTAATATTTTAGGGGAGTTTTGGGGTTTTTTTTTCCCACTTACGATCGGCTAAGCTCTGCGGCCTGTAACGCAATGAAAGCAGACAAAGGCACCACCCCAACGTGAGGTTATTAACGAAATCAAGCTGACTTAAGCGAGCCACAGAGATAAAGAAGCACTTTTTTCTACAACACACACGCTTATAATTGATTTGTGGAGCTAAGGAAGCGTCTCCCTGGCTGAGCTTACCTCCTCCCAGCCGGCTGCCTGGCCCAGGCCTCCCCCAGGGCTCCGGCCTGCCCCCCTCACCTGGGCGGGGCCTGTGCGAGAGGGAAGAAGGGGCCTTGGTGCTCCCAAACCTCTTTTATCCCCAAGTTATCAGGAAAATCGGTATCAAACGGGAGAAACCAAACACCGTCCCCAGCACCCTGGGCATCCCCATCCCTTCACGCTCTCAGACCACAGGCCCCCTGGGCCTTGTGAGGCCACAGCAGGCCCTACAGCAGCTGCCTTGTTAAAACTCTTTTTTTCTTTTTTTTTTTTTAGGGGAGGGCTGTTGTTTGGTTTTTTTTAATTGAAGCTCAGGACCTGGCAGGTTCCACTGCCGGCCTGGCCCTCACCCACCAACCGCTGAGGCGCTGGAGGGCATGGGGGTGACCCCGAGGCATGGCCTCCTCCTCCTTTTCCTTCTTCTCCTCCTTCTCCTTCTCCCCTTCCTTCTTATTCTCCTCCTCCTCAGGCTTCTACCTGCTCGTCAGTCTCGGCTGGGCTCGCCTTGGTGCCGCGGGGTTGGGGCGTTGAGCGAGCACCGAGCCCTGAGGAAGAAGGACACGAGGGCGATGGAGCCGTCAAGAAAGCACCGAGAAGCCACCATCAATGGCTGGAATACTCAAACTAGAAACCAGCGTGGCCTTGCGAGACCAGGCTGAGGCAGAAGGTGGCTGGTTTTGCTTCACTAAGCTCCCCACGGTTGGTGTGAGGTCTGGGTTTCGTTCAGCCTCGGACAGCCATGCTTGTAACAGCCCTTCCGTATCATACCCACCTGAAATCGCTTTAAAGTTAAATATTGTTTTTATCGGCGGCCTATCGCCTCAAATGACGTGCAGGTTTCGGATGGCTCA